AAAAAAATTTACCATCCAAAATACCAATAGAACTTCACATTACTCCAAAAAGAACTGTCTGATTTGAAAAGGTTAGATGGAGAAAATTCCTTTTATAGATAGTTTATTTTAGTTGCTTTCATATAAAGACGTTATCCATGCCAACTGTCCATGTGATGCAATTTCTAAACAAAAGAGTAGTTCTCGTTCCAGAGAGCCACTTTTGGGCTTGTACATGGAAAAGCAAATGAAATGCTGAAGGACATCATATATGGTAAAGTTTTCATCAGAATGGTTATATGTGATTCTGGCTAGAGTATCAGCAGCAATCTCAAGGACACCTGATTCTGTTCTACAATATACATATTGACTCAAGAACTAGACATTCATAGGTAGTTTGAAAATATTCATGATAAATCAGGAAACAGCGAACATGAATAACAGTATGATACCTATAATTGTAGTTCTTCACAACAAAGTATAATGGGGGTCCAATTCGGAGGTACTCTGAAACATTATTGAAATACCCCTGCAATATTTAGAAGGCAGTGTTACCGCACAGAAAAAGCAGAATAATCGATCACCTTTATGAATTTGATAAGTAGGTAACCAGCTTATAGACCTGAAGATAGGAATCTCGGGGAAGAACAATTTTTTGTTCCAACCCAGGCTGAATTCTGGTGCACAATGCCTACAAAGTTTGAAAGAATCAGAGATTAACTGAGGAGAGGGATGAGCACAAACGGAAAAATTGATGTTCACATATATAAGATACATTGGGGGGAAAATTCAGAACTCACAATGCTAGCCAATGCAAATGCAACAAAGACGCAAATGACAGCTATCTTAACTCCCCAAAGACTGAGAATTGGAGCATGGATCTCCTGAAAATGGAAAACAAAAGCAAACATAGTTAAAAGTTAAAGCAGAAAGCAAAAGACTATCACAGCAAAGCATACGTGAATCATAAAGAAGTTACCACACAGAATTTTCTACGTACAAAAATAGCATAAAAGTGCTAAATTGCCAAGGCAACATACTAATCCTTAGAGGTTCATTTGATCATATGCATTACAGTAGAATTTGAAGTAACTTATGTTCTTGACATTGCAGCCTTAAAAATATAGAAAATTATGAAAACCCTGGTTCAAATCGAGATTATATAAATTTTGATAAATAAATAAATAATGGATAAGAATATCATATACTGAAAATTAGTGTGAGCAATAAGGATAATGCACCAACCAGACGTAAGTTGTAAAAATATTCTGATACCTTTGTCAGAGTTGGTGTATGATGAAATTTTCATGCATGGGAAACAATCAACCCTCTTATCTTCAGTTCGCCGAAAATCAAAAACAATCAAAGCTACAAAAGCAGTTACTTGAAGCAGGAAGTCCAACAGAACAGCTAGTGCTGCAAAAGAATGCGCAAAAGTAAGTTTATAGAATAGGCCTGAGGTAAGACAGAAAGACAACAACCAAGTATTAAAACTATTTCACAGATACAAAAGTTAGAAGGAACAAAATTTCCAACCTGCAAACATAGAGAACACACGGCATGCTGGCATAGGAATAAAACTTCCAACTGCAAATGCTAAAACCTCTGACAGACTAGCTAGTGTTATGGATGGTCCAACTTCCACAAGTGCATTGCTTATTCGCCCTTCCAAAGGCAACTCCAAGGATTGCCGTTTGACAGCATTCACTAGTATACACATATTATCTACCCCAACCTGATAAGATGAGAAACTCCAGAATATTATAAGCTACACCAAAACAATCAGTAACCAATATACATTAAGAAACAATTCTGGAAAACTAAAATTTCAAAGGTTTTAAAAGTTAGATTGAAGCGAGAATGCATGCTTCAGTCAGAACATGACAGCCACATATATAATTCAAAATATACCGTAGGAGAAAAAATATATATATATATATTGTTGGGGAACTTACAGCTAAAACAAGAAATGGGATAACTTCCATAATGATTAGCGTAGATTTTACACCAATTACACTGAAAAAACCCACTGATCCAAGAACCGACAGCATGACAAGCACAACTCCAGAGAGACCAAGCAATACCTGGCATTCAACCATACACAATTATAATGGTATAAATAATGTCTCAATTTTGAATCTAGAGAAACTAACATTTTAAAAAATTTAAAAATAAACACAATTTTCCAGTCTGTCGAAACAAAATGAAAATAATCAAGACCATACCTTAGACGAAATGTAAAATGATGATAAACGAGGTGAGTCACCCAAAGTAAGAGATATATAGGCAAACATCACTAGATAGCTTATCTGCAATGAATTAAAAAACCATAAATGGACAAAGGCATTTAAAAAGATTCGCATGATGGAACTTGTCAGTTGTCACAGTTACACATAACGAATAAGAAAGATCGAATTGACATAACTGCATAAAGTACAGAACTTCAGGATTACAGTATATTCTGAGCTTTGATTATGAAAGGAAACATGCAACTAAAACGAAATAAAGAAACACTCACCAATATAGTAATGGCATCTGCAGAACTTTCTCTTTTTAGTTCTTCTTCAACAGAACTTTCCGATGAAAAAGAAAGTGTTAAATTTCTAGATTGCACCATTTGCAACAACTCATCCTATCACAAACAAGATACTAATCTTAGAGTTTAAGAGGGATAAATCTATCTTCCTCAGAAAAGAAAAATAAGTAAAGATAAATCTGTTCGCTTTCCTGCAGAACATGGAGGATAACACAAACAAGAATGCAAAAAATAAACAATCACAAGAATTACACAAGACATAGAGTAAACCTTTGCCAACTTAATAAAGGCTTTCTCCCATGCCACTGCTCTTTCAGTCTCATTCTCTTCTTTACTAATAGCATTGTTTACAGGATAAGTTACGAGAAACGCTGTTGCCTGCATTGGAAAAATCTTAATGGTTCCGAAAAACTCAAAGAATCCAATCTTACTTTGAACAGGAAAGGATGAAAAAGTAAAATAGTTCAGGAAAATTGGAAAAGTCATTACCTCCGAATAGTTTTTCCCAGAGAAGCCTCCTAAGGCTGTGCTAGGATCAAGAGGACCTTTAAATGCACTCATGCATTTGTCAGCAGATGAATAGTGCTTGAAAAACAGAAAACGCAAATGTCAATGGATCTACTTTCCAGGACATTATTGCCATGTTCTTTGAGAAAATTGGAATGGTAAAAAATAAGCGAGCTAACTGACTATAGAACAAGCTGGAGAGAAATCTAAGCGTATTAAGACATGAGGTTGGTCATCTGATCAGATGATTCCGGCTTATCTAGAAAAAAGCAAATATGGACAGAGCTCTACATTCTTATTATTTGACAAATTCAGCAGAAAATAAATATTACAAATTAAGCATACTACAGTTATTAGATGCACATATTATAGATCAAACAATAGGACCAGTATCCTCATATATCCATCACCTTTGAATGAAATTATAAACAACTATATTGCAGCCCCATTTTTACCAACCCTGGCATTATAATGCCGATAAGCATACTAGGATAAGATGCACATATCATAGATCAAGCAATAGGACCCGTAACATATGCAACCCACTACCCAAAAAAGCTTTAAATGATATTATAAACTATACCGCAGGCCCAAATTTGTCTTACAAACCCTGAGATTACAAATGTTAATTTTAACCATTCATGCTCTATCCAAAGTAACACGCAGTTGATAGTAAGTAACGTTCAATCTGGTAGATATTGTGCTTTCACTATTAGTTTATATTGGAAATGATGGCCCCAAAAGAAACAACAAATATCGATAACAATTTATCCAACTGTACAGAATCTCATTAGACAATAAACTAGATCCGCGCTTCAGATAATATGTAAATGGAGATTATAAGAATATACCTCAAAACAATACTTTAGGTGTTCAACCCCACCATAATCATCGTAATTTGCAGGATTCATTTTGAAATACTGGAACCATGAATATCACGAGAGAAAATATTAATCAAAATCTTAAAGATATCTAGATTCAACAGTTATGTTAAAAAAATAATAACAACAAAAGGAAATTCAAGGATCCATTTGTCACAATGCAATAAATTTTTACAAATGAATAAATTGTTGGTATAACAACTTGAAAAAGAAAACTGACACTCAAATCACAGTGCAAGATGCATATGCCAATCAAGCAAAAAAGGCATTCAACAAGCCACAAGGCTACTGTAAAAAAGTTTATTATCATGTTCACATCTATTCATATACTAGACACATAGTTCTCTTTGTTTTTCTATGTACATCGACCTGGAACAAAAAAGAAGGGTTTGACAGGGAAGAGAAACAGCTACAGATGGGCTATTAATCAATGCACATATTTAGATACAGGCTTTAAGAGACTCAAATCACACTTCATGACAAGTAGCTAAAATATTGACAAGAATGATTGCAATAGATGTTCAAAAGGGTGACACACGGTTAAAATATAAATAAATTTAATAAATTACTAGTTTCATTTCATTTACCATTTTAATATGGGAACACTAAATTCATCAACTAAAGCAGAGTTGTACCTGTAGGACACTTTGAGTGGCACAATCTTTGTCCATTGGCTTCATGCAAATATCAGCAAGAGATATCACCGAGCCAGAATAATTTGCTTTAATTCCATCAACCTGTCAAATACAAGTAATGTTGTATTAGAAGTACTTCTTTTTACCACATGTCAAATGCAGAAAAAGAAAAAAAAAAGGAAAATAAATAACTGCAGTACAATTCAAAACAAAGAACAACGCCAGTCTCATACCAATCTTAATAGATAAACACTTAATTCTGAAAAGTAATACTAGAGTAAAGGATCAAATACCTTCTTCTGTATCTCAAAAAGTAACTTAATATTGTCCTCTGTCACAATACTAGGTGAGCTACCATGCTTAACTTCTGGAATTGTTGCTAATATAAGCTGCAAACACAAGGTGTGACATGAGTTTCTCCCATAGTTAAAGCTAAATGGAAACAGGCTTCTCATACCAAAAACAAATTAACGATGAAAATTAATGGCAAGACAAAAAGAAGATGCAGCTCATTCCCTAGCCTAGAATGTCTGTTGGATCTATACTTTTTTATGTCCTAATTCTGCTACCTTTGAAAGTTAACCAGCTTGCTTCCCCGTATGGTAAAGTATAACCGCTCGTAAGATGAAAAATAATTTACCAAAAGAAGACATTGTAACAATGTAGAACCTGCTCAATTCTGTAGAAAGGGGCTAGGTGGCTATCAAAAAAATTCTTCTCTTCTGCTGCTTTACTCCCAGGCCCTACCCATAGCTGAAACATTACACAATTTAAGTCAAACAGAATTGTAAAAGTCTGATGATAACATAAAATTCTTCAAGGCCATAACAAATTGAAATGTAAAAACTTTGGTGACCTTCAAAAGGGGCTAGGTGGCTATCAAAAAAATTCTTCTCTTCTGCTGCTTTACTCCCAGGCCCTACCCATAGCTGAAACATTACACAATTTAAGTCAAACAGAATTGTAAAAGTCTGATGATAACATAAAATTCTTCAAGGCCATAACAAATTGAAATGTAAAAACTTTGGTGACCTTCAAAAACCATGGCATGCATAGTAGAGTCTGGAATACTAAATCTCAACAAGAAACCCACATCAGAGTACGCACGGGATCATAATTTTGAATTACGACAAATGAGCTGTAAAATATCTTCACAACATTTGAAACTGATCATAAGTTATGCAGATGTGTTCCATTCTACAATGATACATCCAGTAATGGTTCCAAAAGGCCAAAAACGAAATAAATTTATGAAATAACACAGAGAACTATAAAATAAAATAAAAATCATTCACAGTGCATCCGAGCACATTTCTTCATTTAACACATAAATAACACAACTTAAAAGAAACTATTCAAGTAGAAAATCGAACCTTCTCAGGCCTGGTTTCCACCTTGAAACGGATAAGACCCAGACAAAGCAGAAGAACTAAAGCCAATGATGAGCATAACACTATGATTGGATTCCTAGCAACCCATGTTCCATATCTCCTGTACATCAAAATGTAATCTTTTAAGTAAGAAACCATTCCTGCCTTAACTAACATATAAATTTGATATGTAGTAATCATTCTACAAGGAATAGCAGTCACCTGAAAAATTTTGACATGTATCCTTGCACAATTGAAAGTTGGACACTATTTCTAATGTGAGGAGCATCTTCAAACACCTATTATCAACAATTTTAAATACGTGATAAGAGCAGCCTACAGCAGCTAGAGAGTATAACAGTAATATATAGTTGAGCACAAATACAGAAATGACATTCATGAAGCGAGTAAACCACAGAAGCTAGAGAGGAAGATACTACTAGTAGAACAATTGACCATAAATTTTAGAGACAGTTTTTTGTGGTAAAGAATTGTGCAGATATAGAAGCAATGAAATTTTTTTAAGCATATGCAAGCTAGAGAGCAATCTCACAAAGCTATAAAACACAGAAGTAAATTTAAACTTTCAAACCATACACATAACATAACTGATATAAATTTCAGAACACACATAATTGATATATACATACTTCGAAACGAAATTGGTTTTCACCTGCATCGGAGGATTTTCATTCTTCTCCCTGTTAACAGAATGAACTTCACTGTCATCCATTACAGTCCACCAAGGTTTTGTCACAGAAGCTGGGTTGGCTTTTCTAGTCCGATGAAACAAACCCCATCCGAAGAACACAGAAACTAATACGATATATAGAATCGCTACAGCAAGGTCAATACATTTAGCCTGCAATTCTCACACGAGGAAATCATATAAACAAAGCATCTATAGTACCTGATTTCACACTACCTACGTGAATCTGCCTCCAATATGAACAAGGTAATTGATGTGCGAGCCAGAAGTTACAAATATTCTACAATATGCTCTCTCACCTTAACGGACCCAATTCTCACTGAGCATGAACCTCCTTTCCGGGAAACTGGTGAAACTGTGTTGGAACAAACTGTAGATGAAGGGCAATCACCGCAGGAACAGCCCAGTGAATTATCACCGCATGAATAAGTAGAGACATTCATAGGTTTCATAGCAGATGACTCGGTAACACTTGAAGAGAATCTAATGGCATATGGTGAACCTGGCACATTAGAAGGTGCTTGTCTACCGATAAAAGTAAACCACTCTGCCATAAATCACAGTAAAAGCACTACTAGTTATTAAACAGCATAAACCAAGATATTGACATACAAGCACTTGGCCTTAGCTAAAAAATGTATATTTCCACCTCATAATTTCTATAGAACATGGAATGGAACACCAATTAGGAAATCTCTAATCTCTGCCAATTAGGTGTTCTCATCCCCCTCTACTTGCAAAGCCCAGAGGCTAAGAGACCCACTTTTTATAAATAAAAAAGAAAAGAAAAGAAAAGGTGCAGCATTATTGCCATAGTTACATCTTATCAGCTATTGCAAAAGTAGCCATGTGGCTTGATTAATACCAATTTCATATGCTTGTGTTTCCATTATCATTACCAGCTTAATGGTGAAATCCATATTAGTGTACATTTGTGCATGTGCGTGCATGAGAGAGAGAGACCTAATTTGCAATTTCAGAAGAATAAAGTTACCTTTAAAATTTTTAGCACCAGCACCAATAAATTCCATAGCTCGAGAATTCATGGTACCGAACTTGACATCCTTGCAGGAGTCGTATAACCCTTCACCATAAGCATCAGTAATATAAAAGTCAATCCCATCGACGGTCAAATTGTTATTAACCTGAAAAGGGAAAAAGCTTCCTTAAATAACTCTATACTCTTCTAAATAACAGTATTTGTCTCTCTCAAAGAAAAACTTGTTTATAAGGAAAAGACTAGAGAGTATCTTACTCATCACAGAAAATTCAAACTGTTGCCCAATCAATTAAGCGGGTAACAACCAACCTCAAATAATTCAAGAATGTTCTGTTTCTTTTTCCATTTTTCATCCAGCAAATAAAACTCAAAAGTTTCATGTGCTAAAAAATCAAGTAAACAGAACATAGAGGAATAATTTTAAATGATTTCCGGGGACTTAAATCTTTTAACCAGATAACTGAGAGCTGTCATTTCTGTTTTTCTTTGATACAACAAATTTTTATTTTTTTTTAATGAAACGGTTATATTGAATATCAAGTATAGTCCTGAATGAAAGATATAGGGGCACAATTGATACCATATGAGCTTAGATATAATGTCTATAAAGAACATCATACATCATAAAATAACAATGGCTTAAGTAGGTCTCTTTGGCAATCCAAGAGTTGCAGAATCGAACAGACATATATTGATTGGCAGGAAATTTTGTAAATGCAAAATATAATAATATATATCAGTATCATTCTTATTCAAATATTTATTGATAACAAGATTGGAGTGCAGGACGGTGTGGGAACACAGAAAATTTTTAATAGGTAAACAGGAAATAAGAACAGGGTTTCCTGACCTTGGCTACAGAAGTCACATTGATAAATAAACTCTGACTTGGAGAGCAGGTAAGCTCACAAAACAAATTCAAAAAGTTTCTTAAGCATGCCGGACAACCGACAAGAAAGGGAATTGCCTGCAAAAATAGAAATTAAAAGAATATAAATGCTATATGTTTGGGTGAGGGTGAAAAGCGTTTGGAGAGAAAATGAACAACTCTAGTTTCTTAGCAGAGTGGGTTCACGTCCAACTCTAAAACTAAAAATTACTTACTTGCTGGACCTGTGACCGTAGTGTGTCAAATTGAGTTTCTGTACAACAAACATTTCCAGTAATTGTTGGACACAAACTTTGGACCTTGGATGAAAGCAAATCATCTGGCTGGAAGAGATAAAATATGTGATAATTGGGTGATTAAAAACCTTAACAACCTTCATTCTGATAGAATAAGGCGCAAAGGTAGACTTCAAGCTAAACTGTTATCCATAAAAGAGCAGTAACTTCTTCTACCATGTACCTTCACAGATGGGGAGCCAAAAGGACAGTTTAAGTATTTTCCATCACTACGTTTTCCACAAATGCCATACATGGCACAATATTCTTCAGAATGCCTTTTCCTGAAAAATAGAAAGGAAAAAAAAAAGTTACGTACTCAACTGTTTTTTTGTTAAATATAGTATATGCCAGAGGAAAACAAAAATCAAGCGCAAGATAGGCCCGCCTATTATGATTCATCAGCAATATGAAATATTCACAAACTTCTAACAAAAGTTACAGTTCCAGGAACTAAAAGAAAGTTAATTGAATTATCATAGAGAGACCATATGAACAGGACATAATTCAGAACCAGGGCATGTCGTTCGAATAAAATTAAGCTAACAGTGGCAATATGAGCAATTCAAAAACTGCTAATCAGGCAACATTATAGACAGACAGACCGCATGCACACCGCATCAGCAGCACATCAAAAGCAGGGCAAGTAATTTGGGTGAAATTCAAGGTAGACCACCATATGCATCAATGAGCTCAAAAATTGCAAAAAGTAAGCAGAATTAAAAAAAATAATTAAGCCTCAGAAATTTGTTAATGTGGGCAAATTGTAGTTTGGTTGTGCACGTAAAATATCAAGCAAGCCTCACCCTGCTGTAGCATTAGACGTTACGGACGTCTGCGCATATGCTAGAGAGAGAAAACATAAGACCACCTGCATCCACATGCATGAATACAGAGAGAGGGAGATCAGTGAAAGTAATCAAAGTGAAAAAGTGCTTATACTTGAAACGAAATCGAATGTGCCTAAACCTAACTGTGAGATTCACAGAAGTTTTTGCCACATAATTAGCAGCACACATAGTGGAACTCTTCGGGATGACCACACCAGTATAAATTCAATTTCGAAATCAAAAGTCTGTTTGGTGACTGAGAGAAGAACTGTTAGAAAGACTTGAAATTCTTTCTAGAAAAATAAAGTTGCCGAAATTAAACAAAAACAAAATAAAATCAAACAGAAAAAGGTGGAAAAAAAAAAAAGCTTGAATTCTTTTTCTGCTTCCTGAGCAACAAACGGAAAAAAGGAAGCTTTTCATGCTCTCTCTTTATTCAGAAAGAAAAAAGGAAAAGTAAAGGTAGAGAAACAAGCGAGAAAATTGGCGAAAGACTTTTGGACATTATCATAAAAAGCAGAGCAGAAACGAAGTTCATGCCTGTAAACGAGAAATGGATAGGACAAGCCCTGGACGGAGGGCCATTCTCCTCTGCGTGCGAGCTCAATCCAGTACAGTCCAGTCCAGTCCAGTACCGCTCAGAGCGAATGTGGAAGACGACGATCCGCGCAAAAACGTCTGTGTATGCGTATATGCGCGTTTAATTTTGTATTTGTATGTGAGAGAGAGAGAGAGAGAGAGAGAGAGAGAGTATTTATAGCTACTGCTGGCTGGGTGGGGATAACAGTCCTCTTTGACGTTGGCAAACTACTTCAGTCTCACGATGTTCAAGGGGCAGCTAAACCAAGACCCCAAAGCCTATATTTACGATTATGACCTTGCTTTCGGCTGGTTTGTCGGAGCGTCGTGTTAACAATGATTTGGAAGGACTTGGCCCCCTTTGGGGAAGGGGGCATGGAGGGGGCGGCGAGGTTGTTTTGGTAAATTCAGATGAAATCGAAAGTGTAGATGTGGCTGTAGTAAGTCGATGATACGCTGACGTTTCAAGTTTAGAGCGAGGCGAAGGAAATTAATTATTTATTTACGTTGGGGATGAGAGGTCAACTTGGAAAGAAGTCCGTTTTGGAAAGGGGGGGTGGTTTGGGATTGGACTTTGGAAGTGAGTGAGAGAAGAAACAAAACAAAACAGAAGGGGTTTGAATAATGCGTGTGAAAGTGCACAAATCTTTCGCACAGCAGTAAGTAAGGTGTCAGTGGCTTTGTATTGAGTGCGGTTGTTAACTGATAAAGACGCATCTCATTTTATTTTATTTTTTTGTCAATGTGTGATGTAGTTTATTTTATTTTCCTTTTTCAAAAAAATTATGGTGATTTTTTGCTGGTTTTATTTTTATTTTTATTTTTATTTCATTTTTGAAAGATTCTTTTACAAGTTAGTCCAGTAATATTCACATTCTATTTTCGCTTCATGTATTTTCACTTCCAAATTAGTGTAGAAACTTTTTAAAATATTAATTTTGAAGCGTCAGAAATTCAATGACAAATACTTTATATTCTCTTTTCTCTTTTCTGGTAGATTTCATACTAGTATTGATTTTATTGGGTTTTCATTTACTGTGAAATTTATTGAATTTGATATTGAACCATGATAAATAATTTTTAACTAATATTGATTAACTGAAAATTAAATTCTCTTTTGTATTTTTCGAAATCGAATCTCTTTGTCATCCGCCATGAAAAATATTTTATTTAGAAGAGTTAATAAATAAAGTTATTTTTGTGAATTCAAAATGATCTTTTTTTTCTCGCTGCACAATTAGTAAGGAGAGAGGGGAAAACTCATACACACGGGATACTATGAGGATTTAAACGCAAGACCACTTGAGAGCACACTAAAGAGCTAAACCAATCCAACTACTAATACCCATTAATGTACTTGTTGCTCAGTAACGTGTCTCAATAAATTCAATTGAAGTCGGTCAGATTGGTCAAAGGAGCTGAAGAAGAGTTGAATATTGAACATAATAGTTTTGACGCTCCAAGGAGCTTCACTTTTTTTTTTTTTGAGTTTCGCTATTTTGTTGTTTTTCGGGTTTGTTTATAAAAATTAAACAGTGTAGAATTTATCTATATCACTAATGCTAAGAATGAGTATATAACTAAATACCTCTTTTTTTCCGGCTTTTAAATTTCAGACCCATCTATTATTGAAATTCAGACGCAAAAATACAACTCAAAATATAATTCAAGGATCATGGTTACAATTTAAGTACGTCACATCACAGGAGCATTGGTAGGTTAAGTAGCATTAACAAAGAACCACATTCAAATCCAGAACCGCCCCACTGTGGCTCCTAGCACCAACTAGAATTGTACACGGCAGAGGTGGATCGATTATGGAGATGGGACCAGAAACCCTAAAAATGGATAGCTGTATTTTCGTTATTAATTGGGTTTTGACTACAAAATTGTATTTGACACATATTGCCGGAGAATTGGACTTATTATAGTTCATCACATATAAAGCCTGAAGAGCCATCGAGTGTCTTCCATTTATTTCTTCTTGCATTCATACTACCATCAACAATCCAATACATGGATTTGCAGGATCTCAACCACTGATCAGCCTTTAGTTTTAGTGGGCACATATATATATATATATATATAGAATTATTAAATAACTTATTTCGTCCATTTTGCTTATCATTAAAAGCAAGCTTGATTCTCGGTTAGTCAGGCGACTTCACCCTTATGAGTAGAGAAGCTCGTCTAATCCTCTTGACTGAAGTCCATGAAGTCCACTTTGTTAACAATGATAAAAATAAAAATAAAAAACTAAGGAGATTTACTATTATACCCAATATAGGAGCCTAAATTATAAAATTTTAAAATAAAAAAAAAGAAAAAGAACCCTATATGAAATGGACTTTATAAATACACCAAAAACTCATTTACAACATAACAAAAAGGCTTTTAACTTCCTTTAAATTACAAAACTATAATTGATTTCTTAAAACAAACCCAACCCCAAAATTCCGTAAAAAAACCTCAAAACACTCAATAGGGCATAAAAGTAATTTAATAATCAAAATTAAATTCAATAGGGCAAGTTGTCATTTTTTGGGTTTGTTTATAGAAATTAAATAGTGTAGGATTTGTTTATAGTTTTAGTGCTAAGAATGTGTATATTATTAAATATCTCAAAAAACTATTAGTGCAAAATTTGAAACAAAGAGGAATTTTCGTTGACTGTTTTCTTGGTTTGCCTTTGGGTTTGGGGTTTAATTAATTATATTTAGTAACAATGACAAGAAATAATATAGTTATTAACAACAGATTCCGTTGATAAGGGGGTCATAGAGTTTTTGTGCTTCCTAATCCATGTTACCTACTCTAATTGCCAGTTCAGCTAATTTACATTCCTTACACGCTTCATCATTTAGATTGTACTTTGTAATATATTGAATTAATCTAATTATATATAATTGAATCTCTAGTACCAAAATGAATGTCATCTAAAATAAATTAAAAAGGGTCCTATAGTAGTAATGAAGCACGTTTAAAGTCATCCTTTTCATGATGGCATACTGATGTACGATAGTAATTACCAGCTCAGTTCATGTACCACTAGGCAAAAAACCAGTTTTGAATTTCTGAATTTAGGGTTTTAATTGGTGTCTGATTTGAGACTATAATATATCGTTTCGAAGGGAACGATGAGACGAACAAATCTTAACTCTATGTATGTCATGACATACGGACATTTCCTTTTTCAATATTTTAGATTCGGGTATTTCCGTTTTCATTTTTGTTTTAGAGCTAGGGTTTGGTATGGTTATTTAATAAACTTTTTGAGTTACAATTAGACTTATATCTTATATCATTATCAAATAAACTCTCTTGTTCTAGGGTTAACGTTGATTGGGTTGTTGTTTTTGTTGCGTACATAGCATCATTCGAAGTAAATACAAATTTCTTAGCCTTTAAATTTGAGAAAAAATCAGAAAACGTTTCATGATTTGGGATATATGGGTATATGATGCGAAGTAAAATGTGGACAGTGAGATGATGAGGGAGGGTATATATTATATTTCACTAGAACTAGAACTGATGAATTCATGATCATATATAAGCTAAGCACTTTTTACGAGTGCACCTCATTTTCTCCTAAAATATGTGCATGAAATAAAGATGGTGTACTGGAAGCAACTTTCTGCACGCAATTTAATTTCCTGTGCAAATGTAAAGGTCAAAACTTTCACTTAAAGCAAAGCCTCCTTGTAACTAGACATGGCAAAGAGATGATTGAAAAGAAACAAAATTGCTTATGTAATGTATGAGCAAATCAAGTACTACTTCTTGTGGTTGAAATTGAAGATGGGTCGGCATCAATGGCGTGTCTTTTATATTCTTTTGCATTTAGTTGTAACGATATATAATTCCCTGATGCAGCGTGCATTCAAACAAGGATGTTGAAAAACACGAACCACTTAGTTGTAACGATATATAAATTATAATTCCCTAATGCAGCAGGCACTCGAATAAGGATGTTGAAAAACACGAATCACGAATTATCAAGTCCAGTTTAGTCTTTGAAAAATGCTGCCAGAGAATCACACTCGCGGAGATAGGGGCCTTTTGGGATTTTTAGCTAGATTAGGCTTTACTGTTTAAGTTGAGAAGAACAGAAAAGAAAAAAGAAAGAGAGAGGAGCCATTCAGGTTCATGATTGGCACTCATTGGAAATAATCATCACCCTCCGCAGCACCGGCATGCCTCGATTGATGATGCAAAAGTATTGCAAAGATTGCCACACGCTAATTTGTAATTAGATGCATATAAAATATACAATTATACATGGCCTTCAGAGTTTACTTAACCATAAGCATATTTAGTTTCAAACCTCTCCCAAAATATAGGATTAGGCTCCATTTGGATGGAGGTAATTAAAAGAAAGGAGGGTTTAGATTTGTCGACAATGCTAAATTTGTTAAAACAAAAACTAGAAAACATTATATTTGAAATAACTGGATGTAAAACACTTGGATGGATTTGAAATGATTATATGCAAAGAGCCACATTTGGAATCCATTTGTTTTCTTCATTTCCTTCTTGTTCAAATCTTGACGTACATGGATTTTAGTGTTGTAATCTTACAATTTAACCTTATAATGTATCTAAATTCTTAGATTCGTAGTCACTCCTTCCAAATGAACCCTGAATCTACATCACTGAGTACTATTAATGCCAAGTTGATCTTCGCAGTTATTTTTTTGTTCATTATCAGAAATTAGTATACCATCTTTTTTCCTGAATAAAAACTTCATTGAAAGAAATCAAGGGGTACAACCATTTCATCCTCGATAGAAGATTTCAACCAGAGAGGAACTTCTTCAGCGGCGGAGCCAATGCAGGCCCACAAGGGTCAGCTGACCCTCCTGAAATTCCTTAATTAACCTACATTCAATATTATTTACCCTTTGTATATAAATTATTATTAATATATGACCCTTCTCAATCTCAGCTTTCCTTTTTTCTTTTCTTTACCTTTTTTTAAGAGTTCTGCTATTTCCACCCCCTTTTTCTATTTTCCCACCCACCTTATTTTTCCACCCACCATTTAAATTAAAAAAAAACAAAATATTATCTTTCCACCCATCATTATTCCTAAAATACCCTTTAATTATTGACACCTGGATATTCACTTAAAACCTTTTAACCCTAACTTAACATTGTTGAGTCCAAATTTTTTTTAAAAAAATTAGAAAATGAAAAGTTTCAGTTCAGTAGCTGCCGCACACTCCACCAAACCTAACAAGAACCACCTGTGATGTACCTAAACCCTAAACCCTGACATGCTCAAGTGCTACAAGGATGTTATGCACATGTTCCTTCTCATTGTTGGCCCTCTTGCTGGGTTTTGAAAATGATTGAATTTGTCGAATTAGGT